TAGCGGTTAAGTGCGCGCGCTCTGCTACTGGCGGCCCGGGTTCGGATCCCAGGCGCGCACCTAGGCACCGCTTCTCCGGCCATGCTGAGGCCAGTCCTACATGCAGCAACTAGAAGGATGTGCAACTATGACATGCAACTATCTACCAGGGCTTTGGGGGGGGGAAAAAAAAAGGAGGAGGATTGGCTATAATAGATGTTAGCTCAGAGCCGGTCTTCCTCAGCAAAAAGAGGACGATTAGCATGGATGTTAGCTCAGGGCTGATCTCCCTCACAATAAATAAATAAATAAATAAATAAAAGTTCCAGAGACAAAACGTAGTTTTCTAATTCAACTCTATTAAGTCAAAGGGTATAATTCCACTATAATAAAGTAGGTGGCAAACTGAATTTGAATGACAACTACAAGAACAATAACTGCATGTCACACTCCAGTAGCCCACGACAGCTTACAAAGTATTCACAGATCTCTGTCTTGACAACATCGCTGTGTAGTAGAGACGTAGGTATTTCCTTAATTTGACCAATAAGGACACTAATGCCCAGGGGTGTGGTCATGTGCCCACTTTGGGAGCCAGTATTAAACCAAAGGGAGCACATGCTGTGATCAAAGACACAATTCACTAACAAATGGTTAAGAAGCACCACGAAAGCCAAGTAGAAGAGGAAGGATTTGGTTAAGGCAAAAAAAAAGTTTAGGTTATGACTTGTATTTACCCTGTTTTTAATTTTCAAAGCATGTATATGTCTAAAAAATTTCAAACAGTCTAGAAAGATTTAAAATGAAAGGTCTCCTTCGCCTACCACTTTCAATTCTGGTAACTCCTCAAAGATAACCATTTCTTTATCCTTCCAGAAAAAAAGTTATTATTTCAAACATTAAATTAATGTATACTTTTTAAAATTAAAACAAATGAGATTATACTACATGCACCATGTTATTTTCCCCACTTAGTAATGTACTTTGATCTTTCCCTATTGGTGCACACAAGTCTACTGCGTCCATTTTCATGGCTGCTACTATTCCACTGTACCCAAATCCCAGTATGCAACCAGCTCTGTACTGACACACACCTAGGTGTTTCCAGTATTTTACTATTATAATAATGCTACAACCAAACATCTTGTCCATATATATAGGCATCCTCTTTCAAGTAAATCAGTAATGTTAAATGCTAAGTAGTAGAAATCCTTGGTGAAAGAGTGTACATATTTCAAATGTAGACAGATATTGTCTTTGTACATCAACTATGTGGTGTGCCGGCTCCCTACACCCTTAATGACACCAGAAATTATCAACCGTTTTAATTTTTACTAATCTATTAGGGGAAGTAGTTTATCTAATTACTGTTTTTTTGTTTTGTTTTTGGTGAGGAAGATTGGCCCTGAGCTAACATCTGTGCTCATCTTCCTCTATTTTTGTATGTGGGACGCTGCCACAGCATGGCTTGATGAGCAGTGTGTCAGCCCTCGGCCGGAATTCAAACCTGTAAACCTGGGCTGCCGAAGCAGAGCGCAAGAACTTAACCACTATGACACTGGGCTGGCCCCTAATTACTGTTTTGATTCACATTTAGCTATACATGAGACTTAGCATCTTTCTATTGGCTATCTTTATTTCTTTTTATGTGAACTACCCATTTTTCTATTGTACTATTTTTCTTTTTCTTATTGATTAATACAAACTCTTTGTAAATTAGCCCTTTGTTTCATGTATTGCAAATAATTTCCTCTTTTTACAAAGCAGTTCTTTGTATTTATGTGATTTTTCATCTTTTCCCATATAGCTTCTGCGCTTGTTCCCACTTAAAAAGGCCCTTCCAAGGTCAAGACTACAAATTCATTCTCTGATGTTTTCTCTTTGTACTTTCATGTGAAACCGTTTCACCTTTTAATATTTAAATCTTCAATTCACTTGGAATTTATTTTGATGAGAGGAATGAGATAGGGATCCAGCTTTATTTTTTCCTACAGACTCAAAAAGTCATTATTTTTATTTTATTTTATTTTTTTGTGAGGAAGATCAGCCCTGAGCTAACATCCGATGCCAATCCCCCCCTTTTTTGCTGAGGAAGACTGGCCCTGGGCTGACATCCATGCCCATCCTCTTCTACTTTATATGGGACGCCACCGCAGCATGGCTTGACAAGCGGTGCATCAGTGCACACCAGGGATCCGAACCGGCGAACCCCGGGCCACTGAAGTGGAGCTCGGGCACTTAACCACTGTGCCACCCGGCCGGCCCCTCAATCAGTTGTTATTTTTGAGTGAATTATCAGTCTTCATATAAAATGCCACCTTTATTCTATAATAAATCTTCTGGTGTATTCTGGACTTTCTCCATGGTCCCACTGAACTGCATGTCTTCTCCAGTTTCAAGATGCTTAAGGTCAGTCCTTTGATTACCACTTGTCAGAAATTTCCTGGTTATTCTAGAATAATTATTCTTCTAGCTCAGGGTTTATCAACAGTGGCACTATTGATGTTTTGGGCTGGATAATTCTTTATTGTGGGGGCTGTCCTGTGCATTGTAGGATGTGTAGCAGCATCCCTGACCTCTACCCACTAGATGTCAGTAGCACTCCCCTAGTTATGACAACCAAAAATGTCTGCAGACATTGCCAATTGTTCCCTGGGTTGGGGTAGAAGGCAAATCCCTCCCCCCCCCATTGAGAATCACTGTTTTAGATAAACCCAGTGTCATTTTATCAGTGTTTCCACTCCCAAATTCCCACTGATATTCTCATTGGGATGGAAATGAATTCATAGAATAATTTAGACATCTTTAGTAGATTTAATGTATTATACTTATTAATCTTTACTATATTTATTCTCCCTATCCAAGAACCATATATATCCTTCTATTTATTTATGTCTTCTTTTAGGTCCGTCAAAAGAGTTTTAAGATTTTTTTAAAAATATAGGTTCTTGTAATATTAAGTTTATTCCTAGGTATTTTACCTTTTTCATTCCTTTATAAATGGGATCATTTCTTATGTTACTATCTTTTCTAATTAATCACCGATAAGCAAGCTATTCATATTTTATATTCTACAACCAGCCACACACTGAACTCTTATTGTATCTAATAGATTTTCAGGACATTTTAAGTTTTTTCTAATGATACAATTTTCAGGAAATTCCAAACATTTTTCTAAGCATACAATGTTATTATCTGCATAAAATCATCATTCTGTTTCCTCATTTCCAATATTTATATAGCTATAGCTCTTCTGTCTCACTGCCTTGGTTAACACTTGCAGAAAAATCTGGATGACAGTGGTGATGGTAGGCAACCTTGATTTTAATGGGAATACTTCTAGGATTTCACCACTGACCATAATGCTGGCTTTGATTTGAGAGAGATGTATTGTATATCACTAAAGAAGTATCCATGCATTTATAGTCTACCAAGAGTTTGTTTTTAAATCAGAAAGATTGCTACTTCCGTCAAATGCATCCTCCATTTTATGGAGATAACCAATGGTTTCTCTTTGATCTGTTACTACTGTATGATAGATTATATTTGTAAACTTCCTAATATTAAGCCATTCTTGGATGGCATAAAGCCACTTGGTTGTGACGTGCAGTAGTGTTCTTTTAATTCCTTGTTGAATTCTATTTGCTAATATTTTGATCTCACGTTTTGCACCAATATTTGCAAGTGAGATCATTCTGTCATTTTTTTAGTGGTGCTTTGTTAACTTTTGGAATCACTGTTAGGCTGGCTTGATAAAAATAAGTTGCACTTGGGCCGGCCCCGTGGCTTAGTGGTTAAGTGTGCGCGCTCCGCTACTGGCGGCCCTGGTTCGGATCCCGGGCCCGCACCGACGCACCGCTTCTCCAGCCATGCTGAGGCCGCGTCCCACATACAGCAACTAGAAGGATGAGCAACTATGACATACAACTATCTACTGGGGCTTTGGGGGAAAAAAAAAAAGGAGGAGGATTGGCAATAGATGTTAGCTCAGAGCCCGTCTTCCTCAGCAAAAAGAGGAGGATTATCACCCATGTTAGCTCAGGGCTGATCTTCCTCACAAAAAAAAAAAAAAAAGTTGCACTTTCATTTGTTGTATTTTTTAAACCAAATGTGTGTATTTAGTATAAAACTAGTCTTTAAAATAGTAAAACCACTGTATAGAAGCACAAAGCCATTCTCCCTACATCCAAAAAAAGCCACATATACTCTTCACAGATTCAGCTTTTTTAATAAATTAAAATACACCTTTGGAAAGCTAATCTGGATTGTGATATTTTATGTGGAGTACAAAAATCTAAGTATACCACCATTCAACCTCTATTATAAATTAATAATGACATATTCAGCTATTTTCCCATCTTAGACAATTTAGCAATACACGGAGAACTGCATTATAAGAGTTATATCACAGAAAGCTTAGCTTTCTTATCTATGTGGCTTCATAAGAAAATTAAATACATTCTTTGATGTTTTATGCTTCTCATGCTCTGAACTCAAATATGATGGTTAAAAAACGCTTTTCTGAGTCTCAAAAAACTAGTAGCACTGAGAAAGTTCACTAGTTCCAGCAGCCACTGCCATCTAAGTGACTCAGAGCAGCCTTTATGGGAGGATTGTCCCAGTTTTCCATAGGATCCAGGAAGAATGTTGTACATCCACCTCTGCCAGAGACCTAGAGCGTTCATTCACTCATCTAATGCACGTTGCACCAGAACATACACCACCTTGCCTGGATCTCAAAAGGATTTCACACACGCATGGTAACAGATAGACAACTAGAGGGACAGAGGGAACCACAGCACTCCCCATGACCCTTTTGTTTCTCGTCTGTCTCCCCACTAGATGTAAACTCCCTGTGGGCAGGGACGCTGTCACCTAAAACACTGCCTGGCCCAAAGTGCTCAGTACGTTTCTGGTGAGGGAAGGGATGCATGACTCACTGAAGTGCTTTCATATGGCCAAGATGAACGACCTGCCCGGCTCCCTCCCACCTGGCTCCCCCTCGTCCAGCTCCCTCCTACCTGGGTTGCTCCTCAGGCGGCCCTCTGCAAGCTCAGAGATGGCTCCAGCTGTTGAAGTCTTTTTCAGGCGAACGACCCCAGAAGCTGCAGCACTCCCTGGTTTGTTGAGCATGTCTTCACTACTGGCCCTCTTGAGCTAAGAGAGAGGGAGAGGGAAAGAAAGAGGATGAAGAGATACATTTTCAGTAAGGAGTGCTATAAACCGAGAAAGCATCTGAGCAGTACCACCCGCCCAGCAGTTAAGATGCCGTAACGGCATTTTGAGGAACACGATAGTGTGAAGTGGAAAAAGGCAAGGTTAGACAAACCTGTGTCTATCATGTACAGGTCAGAGTATGATCTCCCGTTACCGTTTCAGAGAATATTATAAGATTATGGGCGAATATTACCCACCATGTCACACCTCAAATAATGAGTTAAAAGAAAATCCTGCTTTCCTGGTTAAAAAAAAAATTGTTTTTTAAATAATAGGAGCTGATGAAAAAAGAACTGTGTGATAGATGCACAAAAGGCAGGATGAAGCAATGCACAAAAAATTCTAGGACAACAAAAAATAGCTTAAAATACATGTGTGGAGGAAGTAGAGGGAAGAGAGAGACACAACCTGAACACTTCCCACGTGCTCGACACTGAGCACTCCACGCGTGATCTCACATAGACAGCGGGGTCACAGGGAAGGAAGAGGCTTTCTTGGAGGCCAGAGGAACACTGTTAATGGACGACAGAAAGAAAGCACAACTCCTCTGCTCCTTTTCTTCCTTCTTCTCTGTCATGAAAGTGGGGAATAAACAGTTGTTGCAAGGTATGAAAGTGTAAGAGGGGGACCCCTGAATGAGCTCACACTTCTGGCCCAGGCAAATTACGTTCAAGGCTAATGAGAAACACTGCAAATAAACTCCCTCACCATAGTAATTCTGCTTTAAAGTATACTGCCGAAGAGGAGCAGAGGCTGGAAACAGACTGGAGACAGGCAGGTGCCCAGAGCCATGGTGAATACACCTGACATCTGGAGAAAACAGTAGGAAAAAGCCCCCAGATCAACAGAGACACACAGCAGGCAGCCCCTGCCCACGGCACTGCTCCATCCTGCTCCACTGCGTTCAGTCATTTACCGAAGGTTAGGGGTTTAAATATTTGCACAATTAAAAAAAACATTTTCCACTTTTGCATTGTTTAAATTTCACAGTATTACTACACATACCCCAGAATGGCTTGAAAGAGAAAAAAATACCAACGCCAAGTGTCAGTGAGTTTGTGGAGCAACCAGAGCTCTCATGCTCTGCTGGCGGGAGCGTAAACTGGTAAACCACTTTGGGAAACTCGCAGTATCTACTAAAGCTAAATGTTTGCACTCCATGATTCAGCAATCCCACCCCTAGATCTACGCTCAAGGGGAGTGAGTACACAGGTTCATCAAAAGAATGTTCACAGCAGCTTTATTTATAACGGCCAAAAACTAGAACAACCCAAATGTTCTTCAACAGGAAAAGGGGCAAATTAAATAGTGGTATAGTACACAATGGAAACTACATAGCAATAAAAAAAAAAAGAATTACAATACACTAATAAATGGATGGATCTCACAGACGCTATGCTAAGTGAAAGAAACCAGATACGAAAGAGTATATACTGCCTGATTCCATTTATATGAAGTTAAGAACCAGCAAAACCAAATGACAGTGATAGAAGTCAAAACAGTGGTTACCTCTGTGGGAGTTACTGACCGGGAAGGAACCTTCCTGGGTGCTGGAATGTTCTACATCCTGACTGGGTGGTGGTTATACAGATATTAACACACGTAAAAATTCAATGCGCTATACAGCTAAGACTAAGATTAATGGACTTTACATACTTCATTATATTATGTTATGTCTCAACAACAAAAAAGAAAATAGGGGGAGTTACAATTTGGGCAAAGCCCTGGTTCTATCCCTGCAAATGCTAGTTAACATTTTTTTTTTCATTTTTCCCCATTGTTATGTTAGAAATATTTTAAATTGTGGTAAAATATACATAACATAAAATGGTAATAATTTACCATTTTAAGTGAAGAGTTCAGTGGCATTAAATACATTCACAATATTACACAACCATCACCACCATCCATCTCCAAAACATTTCCATCATCCCAAACTCTACTCATTAAACAATAACTCCCCACAGCCTACTTTCTAAAAGAGGGAAGATGGGAAAAGTCTTAATATTAGCCAAGCAATCCTGGTCAGGATCTTTAAACAAATTATTAATTAAAAAAAAAACAGCTAATATTGAAACGAGGAGTTGTGTGTACGCCCAGTTACTAGATGTGACCAGAACCACATTTTCTGGCCAACAGCACTGACCCCTAGCTTCACAACAGGACTGAATATGACACGTGGGTTGACGCAGAAGTCACTTGACTGCGGTTCTTACAGGGACTCCAGTCTCAGAGTAACGAGGGTTCCTGCACCCAAGTTTGCAGCCTCTCAAATTATGCATCAGGTTACTAGTGTAATATGCGTTTAGTACTAAGTGACAATAGTTCAAGACATCAGCAACTTTTTCTCAATAGAAAAAAACTATTATTCGCTCCACCTAAAAGCACGCCCAGGTGCCTCCCTGCGTCCCCAAAGGAAAATCAGTTCTGATTTTAGACTTTGAAAAGTCCCTAGACAACACCTCAAATGAAAAAGGGAAATTGTTGCAGTTAAGGGAACTCCTAATGCAATAATGCAAATGATATGCACTTGGTTCTGCTTTCTTCTATCTGATTCTGACAGTACTAAAGTCAGTAAGTCTGACACAAAGAAGCGTGGAAAAATCAAACTACAGCAAAAGGCTGAGAGAGCAAAGGCTCTGTCTGCAAACCAGAATGGGGAATCCAACAAATGAAAGGACCCCTGCTGGGGCCAGAAGTGAAACTGCCTCCTGGATCCCACCACAGCCTCCACCCACCCCCGCCCCCTGGGTGTGGTGCCAGGGGGTAGAGCCTGCCCCTACTTCCCCTTTCCATAAAAGCTTGGTTCTTGGTGAGATAACAGCCAGAGGCAACAGAGGATGACTTGGCAAGTTGGCAAGCAGTGGGAAGACTTCCTCCTTCTTGGTCACACTCTGCATTATAAATAGATCCGAAGCTGCCCTTTCCAGGCAAAGGGATGAATAAGATGTGCTACAGGCCAGAAGCACGCCATCTCCCTACCACACAGCACGGGGAGTTTGGGTGGCAGCAAAGCTTTTACTGCATTTCATTTTCCCTGCACCCTCCACATGGAATTTCATTTGAGAAAGATTTATTGCTTAGAAGCTTTCCCAAGAGGCACGATATCAAGAATAAAAACTGATCCCCGCCCCCGTCCTCCAAAGCAAACAGCTGAAGCTACGCGTCCTCTATCACTATTTTTTGGATGCAACATCAGATATGGAAAGCTATTAGTCTCAGTTACTAATTCCTTTTCTTTCTCTATTCACAGCTGCATTTTTGGCTCTGTTTCCTGGTCATTGAACGCAGTTTCAGCACTACCTGAGATTTCCGCTTTGTCACAGAAGATCACTATGAAGGTGTGCGCTTCAGTGTTGCTTTGATATGTTTAATAAGTATTTTCACTATTTCGGTTTCACTGCTATTTAAGCTGCCGAGCACCTGCACATGAAAGCTTACAAACGGAAGAAGTTTAAATGGCTCACGGATTAATGTAACCAAGAGATTCCTCTCAATTCCACAAAGATGGGGGGGGGCACCTAAAGCTCTAAAATCATCACACATAACAGAACCCCATCATTTTTTTTTTTTTTTGTGAGGAAGATCAGCCCTGAGCTAACATCGATGCTAATCCTCCTCTTTTTGCTGAGGAAGACCAGCTCTGAGCTAACATCTATTGTAAATCCTCCTCCTTTTTTTCCCCAAAAGCCCCAGTAGATAGTTGTATGTCATAGCTGCACATCCTTCTAGCTGGTGTATCTGGGACACGGCCTCAGCATGGCCGGAGAAGCAGTGCGTCGGTGCGTGCCCGGGATCCAAACCCGGGCCACCAGTAGCGGAGCGTGCGCACTTAACCGCTAAGCCATGAGGCCGGCCCAGAACCCCATCTTTAAAGGTAGAAAACATGTTATGTTTGGACCAGTGGTTCTCAAACTTGAGTGTGTATCAGAATCCTTGGAAGGTTTGTTAAAGTGCAGGCTGCTGCCTACACCCCAACCCCCAATCTGCTCACCATCATCACCAGGTTTCTGATTCCCTAGATCTGGGGTGGGGCCTGATAATGTGCATTTCTAACAAGTTCCTAGGTGCTGCTGGATGCTGGTGCTGCTGGTTGGGGACTTTGAGAAGCAATGGTTTAAAGCAGCCCTGTTGATGGAAATATAATACGAGCCACATGCATAGTCTTATATTGTCTAGTAGCCACATTAAAAACATACAATGAAACAGGTAAAATTAACTTTAAGAATATATCTTCTTTTTTTTTTTTAAAGATTTTATTTATTTATTTATTTTCCCCCCAAAGCCCCAGTAGATAGTTGTATGTCATAGTTGCACATCCTTCTAGTTGCTGTATGTGGGACGCGGCCTCAGCATGGCTGGAGAAGCGGTGCGTCGGTGCGCACCCGGGATCCGAACCCGGGCTGCCAGCAGCAGAGCGCGCTCACCTAACCGCTAAGCCACGGGGCCGGCCCAAGAATATATCTTCTTAATCCAACAAATTCAAAATACTATCAACCAATGTAGAATATATTAATGAGGCACTTTACATTTTTTGTACTAACTTTTCAAAATCTGGTGTATATTTTACACTTACGGCACATCTCAGTTTTGATGAGCCACATTTCAAGGGCTCAATTGCCACATGTGGCCAGTGGCTATTGTACTGGGCAGCGTAGGCGTAGAGTGCTCCCCAAGAATGACAACATGAGACTGACTGGGTCTCCAAGACTCATATAGAACACGCCTAAACTATAAGACTGTTTTCCGGGGGTAGGGGCTCCCCCAGCTACAGGAGACTGGACAAGGACAATACATGACCTACCCAAGCAGAGACCTTTCCCAATTTTTTGCACGTCGTTTGATTTTTTTTTTTTTAAACAAATCAGAGGTAAGCAAAGAAGCAGCCACGTCTTTCAAGGAATGTGGGAGGCTTGGGCATGCTGGCAGCCACGCTTCATAACACAAGCTGAAGGTAGACTAGACGTCAGCAGGTGACAGAGAAGCAGAGGGGCAGAGGCAAGCAGAGATGAGTGACAGAGAGAGAGTCCTGGGGCGTGCCAGTCCCCGGTCCCAGCCTCTCTGAGCTCCAATCTTGCACCTCTGTCCTGCCTAGTGCGTGGGAACCTTAGGATCTGTTCAGCGTATTTCTTTTCTGCGGAAGCTAGCTCAAGCCAATGCTTTGTCATTTGCAACCGAGAGAGTCCTGACTAAGAGACTCGGGCCTTATAAACGGCCAGAATGAAGCGGCCTGTCTGCAGTGGAGCACCCCAGGTGCTTTCCTTTCCTGGGCTAGGCTCAAAGAGCACAAGTAACACTTATAGGAACATCCCTGTCCCATCTGGACTCCTGGTCCCACACTGCGTTCTTTCACTGCTCCTGCAGCTCAGGCCAGTATTTGATGTAGGGTATTTCGTGCTATGTTGGTGGACATGTTTCAGTTTTCCTATTTTTGACCAGTGAAAACATATCTATGCATCCCATATGTATCCATTTACCATAAAGCAAATATAGTAAGATGTAAACTGTAGCATCTCGGTGGTGGAATATGGGTGCTCACTGTATAATTCAACTTCTCTGTATGCTTGCAATTTTCATAGTAAAATACTGAGGGAAACAAATCTACTGGCCTGTCTCTCCATCACCATTTCCTCTTTCTCTTCTGTTCTCTGGATTTTTAGTCTTCGTCCTCTTCCTACAACCGTAGGCAGAAAGGAGAGATGGTCAGAGCAGAGACATATGACAAGAGCCAGAAAAGTGCAGGCATGGTACAGCTCTTTCTGCTACCCTTCTCTCAAACCCCATCATGCTCTTTTATAGAATTAGGCCTGGAGATTCCAAGAAACAGAAATGCGAGCAGAAGGTTGCTAACATGAATATCTGCTTTTCCCCTGACATTTTCCCTGTGGAACAAGCTTCCAAAACACACACCTATCAATGGCAGGAGTGGCCAACATTTCATTGCCCGTAGGAAACACTCCGGAGCTTTAGGCCTTTTTTATTAACACTGCTTTTAAAAATATTTCCAGGGGCCAGCCCAGTGGCCCAGCAGTTAAGTGCGAGCGCTCTGCGTCCGCGGCCCAAGGGTTTGCAGGTTCAGATCCTGGGCGCGCACTGATGCACCACTTGTCAAGCCAGGCTGTGGCGGTGTCCCATGTAAAATAGAGGAAGATGGGCACGGATGTTAGCCCAGGGCCAGTCTTCCTCAGCAAAAAGAGGGGGATTGGCATGGATGTTAGCTCAGGGCTGATCTTCCTCACCAAAAAAAATAATAAAAAAATAAAAAAATAAATCTTTCCATATATTCCAGAAGCGCTAAGGATCTGTGATTGGGGAAATGTATGTATTAAAGACTAAATTAAAGATGTCTCCCAAATGTACTATAGGTCAAAGATAATAAAAATAAAAATCATGGAAATAACGGTCAAGTCCAGGATAATAGAATAATAAACAAAATTATGTGTAGAATACTGTATCCACACTTACTCCTCATGGCAGGTAAGGTATTACCTTCATCTCAGAGTTCAGGACAGCTACATAGCTTGCCTGAGGTTTCCCAGCTAGAAAGTGGCAGAGATAGGATCCCAACCCAGCCTGGTCTGACCCACTTCAAGACTGTGCTCCTCCTATTCCAACATTCCATCACACCACCACTCCCAGAAGAACCGGTGTCCTCGGGCATTCAGTAAACACTGAGTGCCTGCCAGGTAGCAGGTGCTTTTCTAAGTGTGAGGGACAGAGCCGTGCAACAACTGAAAAACCAGACAGCCCCTGTCCTCATGGGGGCTCCTCTGTCTCCACTCTAGCCAGGGGGAGACAGACGCTAATCAAGCATGTGTGCCATGGTCATAAGTGCTGACCATGTGCATATGTGGATGGAGGCCAAGGAGCGCTTCACCTAGAGTGGTCAGGGATGATGTCTAATAAGGTGACATCTGAGCACAGACTTACAGGAGGACAAGTGGCAGACGTGCAGAGGTGGGGGGGCGGGGATGCTCCAGGCAGAGGGAGCAGCAAACCTGCTGCTGCAGGAGTGTGCTGGGCTTGTTGGAGGGACAGTGCCACTGGGCACAGGAGACCGTGCGACCAGAGCTCAGGGAGCCAGGGCAGAGGGGAGGGCGACGACAACTAAGACAGAATGGGGCCGGATCTCAAGGCATCAGTGGCCATCTCAGGGACTTCACTTTTCACTCTGAGTGAATGGAGAGAGCCCCTAGAGGGTTTTAAGTAGAGAAGTGACATGACTTATGTGTTAAAAGGACCACTTTAGCTTCTGTTGAGAACGAAATATAGAGTGCCCAGACAAAAGAAGGGAGATCTTTTGGGAAGCCCAAACAAGGAAGGTGGTGGCAAGACCCAAGGGGCCCCAGGGAGGCAGTGGGAGTTGGTTGAGTTGACATCTATATTTAAGGTAGAAGCAATGGCATTTTGCTGACGGACTGTGGGATGTGATAAAAGGAGGGTCCATGGGCTCTGGCCTGAGCAACTGCAAGGATGGAGATGCTATTTACTCAAATGGGGAGATTCGCTGGAAGCGGGTTTGGGGGGCAGGAGAGATGGAGGGGAAGGAATCAACATTCAGTTCTGGACGTTACATTCAAGGTCCCTTTTAGACATCTAAGAGGTGATGTTACAAAGGCAGTTGGAGGGGTCCCGGCTAGAGACACAAATTTGCATGTCATCCACCTACAGTATTAAAATTCATGAGAACAGATACTATCACCTAAAACAATTGTTCTCAACAGGGACAGTGCTGTCCCTCAGGGAGTGTGTTGGAAATTTTTGGGGGCATTTTTAGTTGTCACTATGATTGGAGGTGCTACTTATATTTAACGGGTGGGAGGAGCTGGGACCCGGATGTCCTATAATGAATGTGCCAATCTTGCACAAAGAATTGTCCCACATCCCTCACAATTTTCACATATTCCACAGACATTCACAACGGTGGTGCACCTTTTTATTATTATCCGAGGCTAAAGCATCCCTTCGTTTTACATATAAAAACAACGTACTTCTTGCACAACTTTAAGATACACTGAATTTTCTGAGAATAACAAGTGAAGACTGCCCTTTGGTTCAGAACTTTACCAAGTGTTCACCATTTCAAAACAATCACATCACTCCCTCAGTATCCTTTATGGAATCTGAGTCATTGACATGACAACCCTGAATCAGTCTGCATTGTAGCTGTCACATCCACGGTGCTCTAAGGAGCATCTTAGGTCCTTAAGCATAGTCGTGCTCAGGCATATGCAGATGGAAACATGGATTATTTAATTATGAACTATTTTCCTTTTATTTTTCTTCTATAATTAGGATATTATACTGATTTTTCAAAAGTTATGTGTGTAGGTGGGTCATATTATCTCTGAATTTCATTTCAGGGTAGTAAAGGAAGTGCTGGGTGTGACAGTAGCTAGGAAAGAGATGAGGCCCGAGGACTGTGCCTCATTCCCAGCTGATGACAGACCCAGGTGACGAGGAGGAGCCAAGACTAGAGACTCTAATGTGCTGCCCGGGAGGAGGAGAAAACTGGGAGAAGAAGGCACTCCCAGACTGAGGGCGTAATCAACAGCGTTAACGCTGCTGACCCTCAAGTAAGACAAGGATGGAGAACTGACAACTGGATGAGGATCATGGAGATGACTGGTGATCTTGACTCCCATCTGGGGTGCTGGGGGCAAAACTCTGGCTGGAGAGTCCACGTAATCCAGGGTAGGGGATCTTAGTCTTTCTGTTAAACATTCTGCAGATTTCCTTTCTCGACCCCAGGGCACTCAGCTACACCCTCTTTGCTCTGTTCCTTGAGGTCAAGATATGCTGGTTCTCCTGGGGCCCTCCTCAGAGCCTCCTTTCCCGCTTTGCTTACTGACCTCTTCAATCTCCTGACCCAGGGCTACCAGGGGTGCCCAGAGGCCCTGTCCTATGGGTTTCGGTCTGTACCTTGCTGAGTCGGGACTCAAAAGCCAACGAGGTCGAAGATTTAGAACTCTTCATGCCGGAAGAAGCTGCAGGGAGGGGCCGTGCACGGTCCGTCCCATGGCTCCCCGCTTTGATGACTGGACTCCAGGGCTTGGCTGCGCTCCTCATGTTTGTCCCGTTGGGTCTGTCTTTCTGTAGAAGAGCAGAAAAGAAAAACATGTGTGTCCACAATTGAGCCACAGCTGAACCTGGTGAGTGATATCTTGGAGCTTCACCCCCATATTCTACGTTCACCACTGTTCTCATAGAGAATGGGCGCTTACGATTGGGCTGCCATAGAGCATTCTCTTCCTAAGATGATACCCGTGCACTAGGCTAATTTTACAACTTTACAACAGCTTTTACCAAACTATCAAAAACATACATGCAATATTATTGATGTTCTGATATTACCTTTCACCAAAATGATGGCTGCTTCTTGGTAAGGGACACCTAACACAGTATCACTATACACCCATACACTATTTATAGATATCCCCACAGAAAACAGGTCAGCTTGAGTCAAGACATACTATGTCCACAAGCCTTGTAGCTTCAGGGTTGACAATGGAGCAACGTACCTAATTTTTAAATAGACATAAATGAATCACTTGAAAATTAGATTTCACAGAAGCACAGCTTTTTTCTTCTTTTGGACAAAAATGGATATCATTTAAAATTAATAGAGCGTATTTTAATTGGTCAGATCTGACATTATAGGGTAGAGTTACCCCCGTAACTAAAATATTTTATGAAAGAAAAATTGTACAAAGTAGCAGGATGCAGTTAAAGACCTAAGGGGAAAATCCGCACACAAAGATATGGAAGGCAGCCTGAGTCTTTCAATCATTCCTGAGCAAGGTGCAGCGCCATTTCTTAACCTCTCTGAATCTGCTTCTTCCATCAGTAGCACAATGGGATAGGATAAAATGCCCTCTAGGGTCTCAACCAGCTCCAACCCTGACGCTGCCTGTCCCCATGGACTCTAATGACCAAGGGTGTGAGAGAGAACACCAAAACCACAGGTAACGCTCCATCCTTTCAAAGAAACAAACCCAAAAATGCACTTTAAAAAAACACAAATAGGTGATAGCTAATGCCAGTGGCCACACTCACAGGACCCGAGAGGTCTAATTAACTGCCCCTCTGAGTGATCGTAGCTGGTGCTACGCGGCCCTGGGCCTCCCCGCCCCTCACCATACCCCAGTACACCCCATTAGCCACCTATGAGAAAAACAACAGGCCACCCCCCAGCCTTGCTCATAGCTCAGGCTGTGACCTCCTCCCGGCCTGCCTCCTTTTCCTGGCTGAAGGAGAGCATTTCAACTGACAGTGTCTCTCAGCCAGGCCATCCAGTTCCTACTCCTACTGAAAGTGATGAGCTGGTGCCTGTGTCCAAGAATCTACCTGGAACTCATTCTGAAGCACCACTATACTGGCAGCTATGGAAGTGTGGTGACAGGTGAAAATATATATTTAAAGACTTTGCAATTTGTTTTCTACAGTGTTTTTGAGGAAAATTATTCATGATTTTAGTTACATGATTAGTTCCGAACCTTATTAGTCTCAGCTTGGTTCCAGGTATCATGATTATTTTTTTATTCTGTATTAAAAAAACTTACTCCTCGGGGCCGGCCCCGTGGCTTAGCGGTTAAGTGTGCGCGCTCCGCTACTGGCGGCCCGGGTTCAGATCCCGGGCCCGCACCGACATACCGCTTCTCCAGCCATGCTCAGGCCACGTCCCACATACAGCAACTAGAAGGATGTGCAACTACGACATACAACTATCTACTGGGGCTTTGGGGAGAGAAAAAGAGGAGGAGGATTGGCAGTAGATGTTAGCTCAGAGCCGGTCTTCCTCAGCAAAAAGAGGAGGATTAGCATGGATGTTAGCTCAGGGCTGATCTTCC